AACAATGTTTTTAACATTTTATATTCATAATACTCTCCGTAGACATATTCCTGTATCACTGTAAATTACAAATATCCAGTGATCACATTCCACCTTGCATCAAACAGCAAAAATAATCAATCAAATTAGGTTATAATGCAACACACACACACACACACACACACACACACACACACACACACACACACACACACACACACACACACACACACACACACACGTACATTTGGATATATAACACCCAGTGTCGCCCAGCGACTGTGTGCACGTTTTTTTAATAATTCATAAAAGTTTGAAGTTTAAATAATCCCCAGGTCTATGTTTAATATCTTTGAAGTGTTTTTGGCTGCTTTGGAATAATAAACGTTACAATCACACACCTTTTAAACATCAGCGCCCTCTTATGTTCAGAACAGGAACACATGTTATTTTTCAGTCAAAAATATAACTAGTTCACACAGAAAATGTTCCAGGAGAAGATAATTTGTGTTAATAATCATATGAATCCCTTTGATTATCTGAATTAAAGCCATTTTGTTTGTTATTCCTGGATTCTGAGGTTGTGTAATGTTGTGATAATGGCTGCTTTTGTATTTACGTTATATTTACGTCCGGAGAAAAGGCCCTACCTATGATGCATAAATCAAGGCTTAAAAGGCCGTGCAGCTTTCTGAGCACTGCAGTTTGCACACATGCGTATACTGAAAATGATATATTCTGCTTTACAATCAATATTTATCCTGGGGGAGACAAAATAAAAATGCTAGAGGATTTATAAAGTTAAGAAAGACACCTGACTGGGGATATTCTGGGGATATTCTGTCCGTAACAAACACGGTTATTTGCTTCTCAATGCTGATAGAAAAATAGCAGCAGGTGAAGTCAGGCATCACAGATGTTACAGTTCCTCTGCTGAAGCAATGATTTATTTATTAGCAAAGTTTTCATAAATCTTGTGGGTATTGAAGAGGGGGAAAGGCACGCCCATGAAGCTTAAACACAGGAAAGCATTTTAATGTGTATGCTGGACATGTTCAGGAAGAGGATGTACCGGGGACTCTGTTACCTCAACCTGACCTCGGGACATTTCAGGTCCCCACATTCATGCAGAATTATCTCAACAACTATTGGATGGATTCCTAAGACATTTAGCACAGATATTCATGGTTCCCAGAGGATGAGTCCTACAGACTTTTCTCATTGCTCTGTATTTTTCCATTAGCAGCAACTGCAGGCAGCACTGCTAGATAACGAAGAAATAGGCGTAATAGTGTTTTGTTTATTTAAAGGACACAAATCAACCCACTTAGAGGATAGGATAGAGGACATGTGTCAAACTCAAATCAGGCCCGTGGTGGATTTAATTTTGGCCCGCAGGATAATTTCTAATTCCTATTAGATCTGGCCCGCCGGTATATTGCACGCACACCTTCACTCCATCCTGAGGGTCTCCTCAGCTCAGAGCCTGAGCCCAAACATTGATGACCTTGCACCCAAGATGAGATGTCAAGTATCTGGCTTGAACTAGCATCAGAGCAGCACACTGAGTTTAATGGATGTTTCCTTCTGCACTTTGTTTCTTGAGACAACAGGGCATGTTTTCTTTTCTCTTTGAGGGAAATAGTTTTGTTGAAGCTGTTGTTGGCCTGTGGGAAAATGTAATCATAAGAAATGAATGACTGAGGAGAAGCTGCAGATAGAGCCATAAGAAATGAATGCAGCTGATTATTTAATGTTTAATGTTGTTTTTATAGGCAATCATTTAAGCTTTGTTAGTTCCAGGTTTTAATATGTGCAATAAGTTCATTCAATAAACATTGAACCAGTCCGGCCCTCGACTAGTACCAATTTTTTAATCGGTATTTGAGTTTGACACCCCTGGGATAGAGGGACATGAGAAGAAATGACGAAACACGTAGGATCATTATTTTTCCCTCTGTTATTTAATTTAAAGGAGACATACAGTAGAAGATTAGTTAATTTGCCAATTCAAGTGTCACATAATGGTTAAATGATCGTACATTTTGGCACTTTTTGCATTATTGAAAAGTACAAATACCATAAATATCTGGCAAAGATGTCCCTTGTTCTGTTAAACATCTCAAAATGTACTTGTTTAGTTGGCACCAAATGTTGTTCATGACATCCAGAGGTCAGGTCCGCACTACAAGTCTAACACAGGGTGTTCAAAAATAATTCCAATTGAAGTTACGAGAGCCACACTTTTGGCAACAGCTGGCTAGAAAGCTAACATTCGCTAGCTAGTATAGCTTCCTGTATTTGTGCTAAGCATGACTTTGCATTGCTCCATATTGTTTCCTGTTGAGGAGGCTGTTGCCCAAAACAACGTCCAGTACATCGTTCCCTTTCCTGTTTGCTTCAGCGGGACATAATCAGTTTGACAACAAATTACAAACCACATTTTTTAAAGCGACAACATTAAGATTCTTCCCTTTCTGTAATAACTATACATTAAATAAAGGAACAATGATAAATTCTCATTGAAAAAACTCTGAACATCAATAACTTATTTAGCTATAAACCTCTCTGCGTTTCAGTAACAGTATTACAAAACTACCAGGATTTAGTCACCTACAGTAAAAAAAAGCAGAATGTAGCGCGGCGCTGTAGCACCTTATTGAAAGAGCTTCATCATCATTTACAACACACTTTAATGCACACACCTGCCCGCTCTCATGATCATTACACCAACAAAATCCCTCCTGTAGTTCATTACAGACGAGACAGAAGCTAAGCCACTAAGAGAAGCGCCTCGTGTGCACGGATGAGGATATGACAGTGATGCGGATCTCCCAGGGATCATTGCAGCAATGCACCAAAGTTAATAAATGCTCCAGCCAGCAACTCTAAAACTTTAAAGTATTTTAGAAAAATCCAAAGTTACCATATTTACTGCCAACTGTAACTTCATATTTAAAGTACAGACTTAATGAATAAAATATCATATATTGTGATATTTGATTAAAAGCTTAAGCCATTGCTGTTTTTAGCTTCTCTTATTTTGATTATTTGCTGCTTTTCTCAGTTTAATATTATATTAAACTGAATATCATTGAATATGTATCATATCTACTTGGACTCTGGAACCTGGGATGCACATTTGTTAATATGTTCTGAAGCAATCTGGAAAATAATCTGAAGGGTAATATATAATGAATAGAGTCGCAACCAAATCAGATCTCAATATTCTCATCTAACACTTGGCAAGAAAGCAAATAGGAGCAATGTCCAACATATCTTATATTGCTTTAAAGGTCACCTATTATGCAAAATCCACTTTTTCATTTCTCTTCTAAATCAACATGTGTCCCCTCTGTGTAAAGAGATTCTGAAAGTTTCAGGAAAAAATATTCTTTTTGTCCTGATCCATTTATATACAAACCTGTCTGAAAATGAGCTGATCAAATTTTGGCCACTTTATGATGTCATAACCCCCCCCCACCTTATCACCTGAATCTCCTCCGAGAGCACCATTGAGTTCTTTCTAACCAAATGTCTCTAGAGGGGCGTGGGGAGGGGCTCCTTATTTTCATCTAAAGTAACAGACAGAGAATCAGCACTTTGGAAACAGGTGCTGAAACAGAGGGGATTATGGGATGCTGCAATGATCTGTTTGGTCTTTGGAGCCAAACATTTCAGAGACATGTTTTGTATATTTCTGAGACCTATAATATATTGATGAAAAACAGAATAATAGGGGACCTTTAACCGGTTATTACGATCACTGCACATATTTTGAAACAGGATTTTCTAACTAACTGTAACTCGATGGAACAGATTTCAAAGCACGGTGCATTTCAGAGCTGCAGTTTGTCCAAGTGTCCAAGGTTTATGCATGATGAAGGCATGGCTTTGGGCCTCCTACAGAGAGGAGGGGGGGGGGGTTATAGTTACTGACAGGCAGGATGGACCCTGGGAAATCCTGGAG